ATAAGTTTGATAAACAGTACCATATTACAGCTATCAATGCGTGGTCAGATTCTATGATTGCTCTGTCATGGATCCACACCCCATCTTACAAGCTAAAACTATTTGTAGCAAATAGAGTAGCTCAGATACAAGAGCTTACTCCTTCATGCATATGGAGACACGTTTCCTCAGCAGAGAACCCTGCTGATTGCGCCTCTCGTGGCCTAACACCATCCGCTTTAATGAATCATGAGCTCTGGTGGTCAGGACCTAAGTGGCTTAAATGGGACTCAATTACATGGCCACAAACTAAACTTTCCCCAGATCCTGTAGAATCTCTTAATGAACTGAAATCAGAGACATTCAACCTCATAACATCAACCGATGACTCTAAACTACATTTTTTAAGTAAATATTCCTCATGGTCTAAACTTGTAAACGTTATGGCTTATGTTCTTCGTTTTATTAAATGTCTAAAGCTAAAGGCAAAAATAACCACTCATTTAACAAAACAGGAATTTGAAAGTGCAACAAATCGCATATGTTGGTGTGTGCAAAAGGAATGCTTTGCAAATGAGATCAAATCGCTTCAAGCTAAGAAAACATGTTCTACCCAAATACAACGGCTTGCACCTTTCTTAGATGAAGAAGGAATCATACGAGTTGGTGGAAGACTGAAAAATTCACCACTTAAGTACAGTGCAAAACATCCCATTTTGCTTCCCAAGAACCATTTTGTAGTCCACCTGCTGATTGATTTCTTTCATAAAATATATCTACATGCAGGACCACAACTCCTTCAAGCAATGTTAATGCAAAACTACTGGATATTGTCTCAGAGAAGTGTTATACGCTCCAGAATATTTAAATGTATTCGATGTTTCAAAGCTAAGCCTAAAATGACAGCACCTTTAATGGGCGACTTACCTGCTGGACGTGTTACGGCTACTCGTTGTTTCAATGTTTCCGCTATGGATTATGCTGGACCTTTTACAGTAAAGGTTCACATCTTACGTCGACTGCAGCCAATTAAAGTCTATCTCTGTTTATTTATATGCTTTGCCACAAAGGCTGTACATTTGGAGATGGTCACAGATCTTTCAGCAGATGCATTCATTGCTTCCTTAACTAGGTTTACTGCCAGACGAGGCACTATATCAGATTTATATTCAGATTGTGCCACCAATTTCATTGGAACAGTCTCAACGCTTAAAAAATGCTTCCAAGACCTAATGATAAAACCTGAAACACAACGGTTTGCCCAGAACAACAAAATAACTTTCCATTTCATACCACCTCGAGCTCCACACCAAGGAGGCTTGTGGGAGCGGGCAATAAAAAGTGCCAAATACCACTTGAAGAGAGTCATAGGTACACAAATCCTTACCTATGAAGAGTTTCTAACACTGATTGCTCGTGTTGAGTCAATGTTAAATTCAAGGCCTATTACACCACTCTCTGCAGACCCATCTGACCTTGAAGCATTAACTCCAGGACACTTCCTGACAGGAGGACCTCTGACGTCTCTAATAGAACCTCATCTCACGGATATCTCTGTAAATCGCCTGAAACGGTGGAAACTTGTGCACGCATTTGCTCAACACATATGGAACAGATGGCATAGAGAGTATCTGCAGACCCTCCAAGAACGATCTAAGTGGATTACTCCAGAAGAAAACCTCAAGATTGGAGACTTAGTAATCATTCATGAAGACAATACTCCACCTCTTGCTTGGATGCTTGGTCGAATCATCTCAGCCTCTCCTGGTCAAGATGGCACTGTAAGAGTCGTTCAAATCAAGACATCTACAAAAACCTTAACACGACCTGCAGTTAAGGTTTCCCGCATTCCTATAAACTAACCTAACATAACTCTGGCTACCAACCCCCTTCCTTATTTTTATTCCTCATATTTCAATCATGCATGGTTCTTGTTTTTCTGTTGAACCGGATCGGTTCAAGGGGGCCGGTATGTCAAATATATACACTGTTTTGTTCTAAGTATTCTTATATTAATTTTTAATTTTAATGCACTCTATATGTACATTATATGTAACTGATTTCACCACAATCTCCATTTAAATACCATTTCAAATAGTTAAATGTTTTCCTCATAGAGTGCATCAGTATCTTCAAACCCCAATGGTTTCAAGACTAGCTCTCTGATTGGTCACTGATATGTATCACATGACCAACTCCTTCCTTCAGTAGAGTAGTGGCACACTCTTGGGCAAGTCCTGTTGCTATGAGGACTTAACATGCCTTTTCTCCTACATTTTCAAATACCATAAACCTCTTTACCAACATAAATATTTACCGCTGGCTTATAACTTATTATAAAGACAATTGAAGTGTTTTTTAACATCATATAGTGTGAAAAAGTGAACTTATCAACATTATAGCATTTCAGGATTCATCAAAGGGGGCCCCCAGTCTACGCATCAGTTTAATAACAAAAGGTTAGTGTATCCAATTCAAAATTACTATAATACAGTCCACATTGCTTTCTAATTAACATAAATTCCCCACAGCGACCCAAGCGTCAGCGGCCCGAACTATGTTGCCAAAATTGGTAACAACTATTAACATTATCTGACCACTCTTATACGTGTATACTCAATGATCCTACCTTGTTTAATGTAATGTTGTATATAATTACGGCGATATCTTGGGAAATATTCATCAGCTGTGAAATATACCATAATGGTATATTTGGATTCAGGTCAGTGGCGTTGCTTGGTTAAATTCCAGGGGGGGGGAAAAGCCTCAAATTTCCCAACTGCTTAACATAGATTTCCCAACAATTTTTTTTTTGGAAATCAAGTTCTGTACTATTTTTAAAAATCTACAAATTATTATACTATACTGCAGTAACATTCAATTCAGTATTTATAAACATGCATTAACAAAACATAGCTAGTTTTACATATATACAAAATTACTCAATTTCTAAAACTTCTACCAATTCATAATGAAATTGTATGACTTAAAAAAGCTTGAACAAGTAATGTTTCAAATCCAAAAAACTTTGCAAACCATTGTGGTAGCAGACGTAGCAGTGTAACATTTTAGGGATATAAAATAAGCCTCAAAGTACAAATTAGTATAGAAAAAATATTGTATAAAAAATAATGAAATTAAAATACTTTTAGAAGTTAAGATTAACATTTTAACTTACAACTAGGGTAGGCCTAAACAAGTTTGTAATGATGAAATATTAATATCAGTGTTGTGAATAATATTATTCTAGTCTATAGAAAAGAATAAACCTAAAATAAGACTCGTATAAAATAAAAACGTTCAACTTGGTTGATAATAAACTTATACATACAATAAAAATGTTAACCTTCATCTTCATGAAACTAGAACTTAGACAAAAATCTAACTTAGAGTTAAAGTCAAACATCAAATTTTAGGTTATGTTTTGTCCACGTAGATCTGTTTCAGAGTGATTAGTTGATTCATTTGTAAATCCTTAATTAGGAATGATAAATAACTTGTGTAGATTTTTTTTAAATATTCAGAGATTACATATTTCACTTAGGTTATTAAAAAATAAGAGTTTTAGAGGTAATACCGATACACAAAACCTATCTGTTATTTTAATCTGCTTATTAGCAAGTACTCCGGTCATCCTGCTCCAAATACCGCAAAAAAAGGTATAATAGTTATTTGTGCAACTAGTGAGAAAAGTGTGCAATTGACTCACTCGAGAGAAATCCTTACTCACGAGCCGTAGGCGAGTGAGGAATGGTTTCTCGAGTGAGGCAATTGTACTTTGAACTCGAGTTGCACATTATACTTTTCCTACAGTTACCATAAAACAAATAAATTTGTGAAGAAACATAACCTATTTTTACACAAAAGTGAACTTTTAATATAACATTTAATGTGAAGTGACAAATACAACAGTACAACAGCTGACCAGCTGATTTACAGCCAGTGCTGCCAACGTATTTCGCGCGCATACGACGTTGCCTGCAGGTTACGCGCTCACTATTTCGTGCCTTCACGTTGCAAATCTGGAGTGAGACAATGTTAACATTGTCTCACTGATGAGCGAATTGGCCACTTTGCTTTCTCAAATCAGTGAGAGAACATGTACATTGTTAGGTAACTGTAGGAAAAATATATTTCATGTGACTGACGGAAAAAATATTTTTGAATTTCTTGTAAACACTAACAAACAACATAATTGAACAGAAGAGCTACATTGCTTGCACTTTCAAAATTCAAACTCGCAGTCTCGCAGACGAATCATTCAGAATCATCAACACAGGACAGGATCAAATTAGCCCACATACGTCCAATAAGGAACAAAATTTCTCGTAAACGAAATTCCAACAAGCTATACGGCTAATTGATTATTGATTTCTTAAAATAAGGCGTGTTTAGCCATGGTTTAGCCTTGTTTAATCGAAGTTAAATGAAATCAAAGAAGCGTCAAGTTTATTTGTCCAAGTCAAAGAAATTTTTATCTTTGATGGATTTTCGCAAATATTTAAATTTTGTTTAGTTTAAAAATATATTTTTCTTGTATCTGACTTCCCAACTGTCCCAACTCGTGGCAAGCAAATTCCCAACTTTTCTCTTTCCCAGATTCTAGGGGGGGGAGGCTCCCCCCCCTACCCCCCCCAAGGCGACGCCCCTGATTCAGGTGGTAAAAAAACGATAAAGTAAGATATCAAAATTAAAAATTTTTTTGGAGGCACCTATACGGAATAATTACCCTGATGGTAAAGTATTGAATAGACTAAGTTTAGGCCTAGGTTAAGTTAAAACCTTTTGTCTGGAAAACTGTTCTCACAAACCCCAAGAACAGGAATAAGTTAACTTAAGTTTGAATTGAAATATGATAAAACGTTATTAAGAATTCAATTAATATTAAGAATTATTAAGTAACAAAAGGGGCACACAATAATTAGTGAGAGGTCAAGGTTTTTGGTTTACATGCCCAGCCTAGTTTATAGAAAGCTGAAAATATCGAATTGAAAATTATTCTAAATAAAAGACTAATTTACCTTCATCATTTGATTCGCTGGAAGAAGAATCGGATAGCAAAACTATTGCTGGTTCTTTAGGCTTTCTTGATCTTCTGGTATAATATCTGTGGTGTCCACTGGAACTGTCTTTCCTTCCTTCAGCCATTTTGTTTAAGTATGTTTTCGTTTTGTTTGACGTTTTCGTTTCGTACCGTACCCCAATACCCTTTCACTTTTCCATGACGAAATAACGAAATCCTTTTTTTACTTCATGGACAACTAACAACGCGACTTCCGACTTGACATTTCGATAGTCATCGAGTCATCCGCGCTGATGACGCATTCAGTCTCAGTTCTCAGCAATATTCATTGAATCGTTGGTCTAGGTCAGTACCATTGTGATATAGTACCATTGTAAATGTGAAATTTGAGTACCATCATTGACGTAGGTGTGCTATTCCAATTCCCGCCATATGCTGAGGTAACCCTTATCCGAGGTGGCGGATTGTCGTGTACGCACGAGCATGGCTACCTGACCTTTAACTACAGGCCGCGACCTGGTAGAATTGCCAACGTCACAAGTGGTGTTGTTCAGTGACAGACGTCTCATAAGATAACATGGCAGACAGGTGACATCAGCTCATTAATTCGCACTTTATTGATTTAAATTTAAATTTATGAACATAAATTTATTAAAATATAGAAAATAAAACATACAGAATTGAAAACCGATACAATATGAATGAAAAATCTATATTTGTACATTATAAGCGGAGTCAATAGTGTTATAGTCCAGTAATCAATCTTTCGTAAATATACAAATACCATTAGCTGCTTCCAAACAAAACAGATGTTACAACCCCACTTGCGACGTTGCCACTTCGAAGGACGTGGCCAGGGGCCCTATTTTTGAAATGGTTGACAGTTGACTCTACAGTCAACACTCAACTCAACCAACAACAGGATTTGGTATTTTTGAAATCCAACAGTTTGGAAGTGAGTTGGAAATCGCTAGTTGAGTGACTCGTTTTGGAAATGTAGAGCATACGACCGCCCGAAATTCAGATGACGTCATTTTAAACCAATCACAATGCAGAGTTTTTGTGATCTTCGATTTTACCTCTTCTTACTCTAAAATCTGGATCAGCTAATCTCAATCCAAGGCTATTAAAAAGATACTGAGGTAAACTGTCAACTCCGTTCTTGAGAGAGGTTATGTCTTGCTTAATCTTAGTGATTGCAAAAGTACCTTATATAAACTTATAAGTATTAACAATAAAATTTACTATGGATGTTTGTTTGTTTTATGGTGTAGCTCATTATAAGTTTAGGCATATCCTAAATACATTATTATTTGCTTTCTTCGTATCTATTTCAGAACACATCACCTTATTTTAGTTTTCTTCATCGTTTTGCTTCATGTTATTTTTAATTGTGTTTTTATTTAGGTTAAAGCTTATGGCTATTTGCCATTGCACTGAAAGCTTATCGTAACTTAAATTAATTTGATCCCTTTATTAGGTGAATGGTATTGAAACAAACTATGATATTGTTTCTCTCTACCACAATCTTTAATACCTTAAATCATAGGTCTAATAACAATAATTATCTTTTAATAAGTTCAATTAGTATTCCTAGTGGATTTCAAACAAATTAAATAGTCTAGTATTGACACAGTAAATAAAATTAACAATTGCATTAAGTATTGGGTGCTAAGACATTGACAACAAATACATAACCTCTAAATCGCAATTAGTAAAAGTAAATAAAAGCAATAACAAAACAATATGGCGTCGACTCAAAAAGAGTAATTTTTTGCCGAAAGAGAGGAAGAAGAAAGTGCAGTCAACCTCCACTCAACAGCTCGATAGGTGTTGAGTAGTTTTGGTTGTATAAGTCCACCGTCAATCGTTTCAAAAATACAAAACGATTGGAAATAGAATGACTCGACACTCAACTCAACAGTCAACCATTTCAAAAATAGGGCCCCTCAGGAGTTAAAGGCGGCCGTGATCCACTGCAGTTGCCCGGCCAGTAACCGGTGGCGGACTCCGGTGGCCGCCACCTCAAACTTCTTCTGTTTTTTGGTGACTGGTTGACGTGGTGGCACCTTGGCGCGTTCCCGACCCTACCTAGGAAGATTAACATTGGACGCGTTCGTTCTGGAAACATGACGTACTACCATAGATAAAACATACTATAGTTCGGCCGCTTAGAAAGCGACCTCCTCTAGCATTGGTTTAGCATTAGCGCGCAGGTCGTTTTCTAAGCGGCCGAACTATAGTCTATGGTACTATTATAGCGTCCCAGTATCGTTTCCTGTTTGGTCAGGAGGAACCGATGAGAACCTCTTCTGCGATGGAGTGGGGGATTGTGGGAGAGCCCCTCATGTCGATTTAAGAAGAATTATAAAATAAATTGTATAATCTTTTAATTATTATTTTCTTGGATGTTTAGGGCTACTAATATAATAAAAATCAAAAACATAGTTAACAAAGTACCCTTTTTAAATAATTATTTTATTTATCCTACACGTCACATAGAATGCTGACACCTCTCGTCAGCAGAAAAATCAGCCTCACACCCCATTCCATGACTGAATCATTGAACGTGATGTAGCAATTATTGATATAAAAACTCTGTGATACTCAACAAAAACCAAATAATTAAATTGCAAGATTATGGTGGCTATAGTGGAGTAGCACGTTTCCATTTCCCAATTATGCCAATAGTGGCTATGACTGAAATTACAGAATATTTTAAAATTTATAATAGCACATTAATGTACCTATTCTTAAATACCAGATCGTCACAGGTACACTTAAATGGTGTAGCACTTAGTGCTGGTGTCTAGGACAAATTCCAACACTCATCCCCTCGCCTTCTTGTAAAGTACTTCAAAGCTCATGGTGAAAGAAGACCCTGTGCCATAGGAATTTTCGTACAGCAGTGCTTCCCGTTCGGGCTCTTTCTTGTTCATCACAAGTATATTTCTGGCACAACTACCAGAGCTGAAGGCGTACGGGTTTCCCATAAGTGACCAGTGTGTTTCCTCTGTCTGTACCTCACTTTTCAGTGACCTAGCTTACTTGGAAGATATAACCAATGGGTTTCGGTTTGGGTTTAATCTGCAGTTGCAGTTCAACTCTTACTGTCAATCAATGCGATTGATTGATCGCACTAGAGATCGAAAAACACTTTATAGTAATCATAGATCGTACTGCAATACGAGTTTTCGAAGTATTGATATCGAGATTCGAGAATGGAGGAATGCGTGATTGCGAACTGTAGTAGAGTGTCAGTGTAGTGGTGTAGACTATCCCCAAATCCATCGAATAAAGGATCATTATTCTCATTCTAATCTAATCTAATACTAAAAACATGGCGGCGTCTCATCATTTGACTGCTGCCAAACACCTGGATAAAGGAAATGGTTTGATTTTATATTTGAATAATTATTCTTTTTACGCACAGAAGGTAAGTCAGTGATCTAGAGGTATATTATTGCGATGACTGTTCTGATTATGCCTTTTTAAATAATTGTGTACATATGTTATTGGAATTTGAACTTATACCAGCTGACATCGCATATCCAATCAGCTGATTCATGCAGCAAGAGCAGAGCAGACAGACACGACACGGCTACTTAGGGACTTCTCGACATGTCTTGTCACTTTTCACTTTTATGTCTATCAAATTTTTGCCCATAATCATAATAATAGGTCAAATCTCAGATCAACATAATGAGGTTCTCTGCTCGTTGTTTCAACTTTCTGATTTATTTGTTGAATTGATATACATCATCGCGTAATAAATATAAACTCATGAAGTTATCGCAAAAATATGGCTAGGCTTCATTGGCCTACAAAGTTTGTCACAACCTGAACGTGATCATTTCTTTTTGCTTTTGAATTGGTGTGACTCATGTTCATTTTCCATTTATTTGGCCTAATTAGGCCTATGATTTTGTACACTTCATCTAACAAATCCATTAGATAATGATGTTATTGCATTGGATTTATATTTATTTAGCTTAACTTACCAATTTCATCTGGGAAACAAACCTAAGTTACACTTCTGACTTAAAAGTTATATAAGTGTTTCTATCTCTAACAACCGCTAACTTAATGATAAGTTGCTAAATTTTGTTTCCTCTGGAAAGTGACTAAACAGGGATGAAAACATTGTCCATAGCAGAAATTGATTTAACTTAACCTAATTAGGTTACTCCAACTTAATAAAGGATTCTAGCGTTTGGTTTGACACATAAATATCAAACCAAACACGATGTGAGGTGTTCTTTTCTTAGCTATGGGCGCGCGCACTACTTATTGCTGGAGTTATTGTCAGGTTCACTCCAATTGGGTAGGCCTACTAGGCTGCGACGATGTTTTCTGCACTGGAAAAAATAATATTAAAAGTAAGTGCAGTCGCAACCGTTTGCCGGGAATAGCTCAGCCTACAATGGCTGGGTAAAGTTCCAGGGTCTGCGATAAGGTCAGGGAAACCACTAGGCCAAAAGCCGGGTCTAACCGGTATATAGGACTGGCTCATACACGGGCACTGTGAACAAGTCAAAAACAAGTCACCAAAACAAACGTGCAATAATCACTACCAGGCCTACGCCGATTCTCCACTCTCCTAGAGGGTCGTTGCTGACTACGCAACTCGGGCTTCGTCCTAACTATTCAATAGTTAAGCCCAGAGTGCCTAAAACACGGTGAGTTACACGACGACTTGCCAATAAAAACCACAACGCGTGTTATCACCAGGCGGGGTCTACTAGGCCACTATAATCCAATACACAACTCTAATGCCCAAGCTAAGAATCAAACAGTTCACTCAATAATAATACCAGATAACAATTCAAGTGCACTATAGGTAGAGTGACTACACCACTAGTAGCTGGTCTCAATAAATACCAAGCCAAACAAGCAAAACTAAATGGCAATTGCACTATTAAAATATTGAGCTACTTAGTAGCAGATAAATAAATATTAAATACGTTCCAAACACTAGATAAATATATTATCTGATAGCCGGTACTCCGCTATCCAAGCTACCAAGCTAACGTGTTGGATTACTAAGCAAGCTGTTCAGGTTAAATTAGAATAATCAAATGAATAAACAATAACAACCCTACTACTGCTACTGCTACTACCAACTTTATGTTACTTAGCTGGGCTTCTGTTAATAGGCTAATAATATTAGCTAGAGATATAAAGTCAATGCTACTAGCCTACTGGCCACGTGTTTCCAACTACGCACGCTAAATCGTGCA